CCTCCCCCCTGCCAGTGAGTTAATTTCTATTCCAGAACCTCTACTGCTAGATACCAGTAGTTCATTTAGTCCCCACAACCAATCCCTGTGGCAGCTACTGCCATTACCTATAAAGAGACAAACTCAGGGAAGTTGAACTCAGCAAGGCCTTGTAAGTTGTAAGCTGGGTGTGGCTTTGCCCTGAGAGTGTGACGTGAATCACTGCACCACCAACCTTGAGAATCCCCAGTTTCTATTTTGCATGTGATGCAGCATGCTAAGCTTTTTGGTTGTTCCTGAATAGATTGTGACTCATGACTCATGACAATCTCACAGTTTCTAGGCTGACATCTTCCCAGGAGCAGCTCGTCTGTCCCGCTGCTGAGGGGTTGGAACTGTCTGTCTTTGAGTTGGCAGCCTGGGACCGAGCAGAGGCACCCTGGGCTCCTGTGTTCAAGTCAATAGATCTTTTCATTTAGTAGTGTCAATAACATCACCAGACATGGTTACGTATATACAGTCGAATCATCCAAGGAATTTTGGCTATTTCATAATATGACTATTTCTTTATAATGTTTTTCTTTGTATCTTTTTACATAGAAAACTTGTTTTGATAATATTAAACCATCACTAGGCTGTGTTTTATGGACAATCCATAGGACATTTTCCTAAATTAGATACTAAGATAGATAATAGGTTACTTGTTTGTAGCATACATAAAAGATGGGCAAGGCTTTACAAATAGAAGACACTGAAGCTTTCAGGGGTTGTTTGATGGATTTGGGCAGCCAGCCCTCGGGAAGCATGCTCATGCTAACTCAGTCCATGGCTACTTGACTCTCTAATCGAACCCTTGCTGACTAATGTGTAGCAAGTATGAAACAATTGCTGTTGGAAACTGGTGAGACATTTTATGCTTTTAAAATACTCTCTTAAAAAATAGCATATCCATTGTCACCATTTTGTCATAGACACTGCTTACTAATGTTGACTTTAAGGAAGAACTACTGGTAAATGACTTTTAATGAAAACAGTCACATGAAATTCTTGAGTGCGTAATATGTGACATATATTTCTCTGTGTCTCAAATTTCAGTTAATAATCTGTGATACTAAGTAATATCAATGATTCTAATTTAGTTCAAACTAACTTTTTTACTAATGGATGATGAACCTGTTTAGTGTATGCTGGGGATTTCAAAATGTTTGTATGAAAATGGCCTTAAAAAGGAGTGGTGTTTTTCCATAAACTCTTGAAGCCCCCTCACCTGTATATGTGCATGGCTTGTGCACATCTGGAAGCCTCGGGACATCCGTTAGAACCTGAGAAAATGAAGAGTAACCAGTGGGCAGTTTATTGGAAAGAATGATTGATAGAGGGACCAGTCATAATTTTGAGATTTCAAAAAGTGATTAGGGACAAGAAAATCCTATGTATAACCTTGTGAGCTGGTGTTGTCTCCTATGCCCAGAACAGTCTGTGAACATAATAGATAGGAGTAGGGATGGATGCCAAGCTAGTGAGTAAGAGTGCGGGCTCAGCCATTCTGCGTGGTTTGATTTCTGACTCTACTACTCAGCAGGTACCTAACTGTTCTTGACCCAGTTTAGCCATTGAAAAGGGCTTCCTTCTAGTGCCTTCTTCCTGGACTTCTTTGGAGGGTGAGTGGCGTGAACGTGTGTAAACCACTGGCAATAAGGAATAAGCTTCTGGAAGAAAATATGATCAACCTTCACTTTAATTCGAAAAGAACCAAATGGCATACACATGCAATCTTTGTGTCTCTCTCTATATTTGTCTCCTTTTCTCGAAATACCCCTGATAATATATACAATCTGTTTTATGCATTTGGAGATAAGAAAGCATAATTGGAATGGTACGTCTAGTATGGAGGGTAATTCAAATGCAATTTGTTGGTTATCAGATGACCTAGTAACTGTTACCTTTTTAGTAGGATGGTTCCTCATGAGAACATTGTTTGGTTCTATGTTCAGTATACGTAATAATGACAACTGACAAGTTTTGCTTTTTCAACAAGTTTATCACCTTGACAGGTGGCAACTTATGACTAGAGTCAGAATAACTTTATTTTCCTTTGAAGATCTTCTAGTTGATATGTTGGGGGTTCTTGCCAGCTACAGCATCACGGTCAAGGAGTTGAAGCTTTTATTCAGCATGCTTCGAGGAGAAAGTGGAATCTGGGTAAGCCGTGGGTCAGAGGGAACCCATCTGCACGTTCATACCAGTGGTGGCAGCTTACCTCCAGTGGGCCATTCGCTTGGGCTCACTCACGGAGACAGAATGTTCCTCTTAGAGAGTTGTTGAAATGATTGTGAATTAATTTCCCTTTGGTGAGAAAACAGGCCAGTGAGTAACATGCTCCAGTGGGTGCTACTGCTAAATCTGTATAGTGACTTTTCTTTATTGTATTGTCTCCTCAGCCCAGACATGCGGTAAAGTTATTATCAGTTCTTAATCAGATGCCACAAAGACACGGCCCCGATACATTTTTCAATTTCCCTGGGTGTAGTGCTGCGGTAAGTTTTTAATACATGCTTATTTTTCTGTTTTTAATATTTTATGGCAGGCCCATGAAGGAATCATCTGCACAGAATAGGGTGTGCCACTTGTGGAAAGACAGTGATGCATCTTTATCAGGAATACCCTGCAGTCTGAGTGCTGACCAGTTGACCACTTCTCCCCTCGACTCCCCACAGGCAGCTCCCAGGGGCAGCCAGTCCTCCTTCCCCAGCCTGGCCCTGGCAGCCTCTGGTTTCTACTGTACTTTCATAGTCTGGCCTTTTGTGGAAACAAGGTCACTGTTTAGGCCAGATTGACTAAAGATACAAATCCAGAGACCAGAGACTAGAGTGACAAATCTTATATAAGAAAGAGCTTTATACCAATAAGTAATTATTTATAAAAATAAAAATCCCAGCCCAGTCCAACTCAAGTCCATAAGTCCAATACTGGTCTATAAGTCCCTCTTCACGCAGCCACATGCACTGATGCAAAATGCAGGAATATCACAGGATGGTGGGTGCACAGTTGTGTGGATCCAAAGGTGGTGGCTCTGGCAGCAACCAGGGTCAGCCAGCAAGAAGGTGAAGGCAGAGAGAGAAGGGGAGGTTCCCAGGGCCTCCTTATGAGAAAGCCACGCCCACAAGGAGGCCCCATCAGGCTGTGGCCTGATTGACAGGTTGACTACCACCCCTACACTTTTATATATCTTCAAGTTGACATGAAATTATGTAACCACAACGGTCCTTTTTTCTTTCTTTTCCTTAAAAACGTTTCTTTTTAAATGAGTTCTACTGTTTTAGCTCTTCCTTTTATGTTTGTGGTTCTTGTATATGTGTGTGTGTTTTAGAGGAAGGTTCATATAAATGTAGAATTTCACTCGCATCTACTCTCACCATTGATGGAGGAGTCTATCCTTTCCACTTGGGATTGCCTTGGCACCTTCCTTGAAAATTCACTGTGTGCTTGTGGGTCTATTTCTAGACACTCTTCTGCCTCTTTCCATCACGAGACCAGTACCACATTGTTGCTGCTGAGGTAGCATTGCGTTGCTAACCGTAAGTTCAGAAGTCTGACCACCCACTGGATGGTTCCCAAAGTTAAGCTATCGGCTCCTGGAAAGAAACCCTGTGTGTGTCCCAGGAAGTTGGAACTGACTGGAGAGCAGCTGGTTTTGGTTCACAGTAGTTCTTAGAACCCTGCTCTTAGTTTTTAGGAAACAAACGATATTTTGGCTTTTTTTTTAGGTTATTTGTATTGACCATTGCTATATTCTCTGGAAAGCCTTTTGTGATTTTGCTTGTGCTGTGTTAAATATATTGAACAATTTGGGGAGAATAGATACCTTAGCATTATTGATCACTCCCTGCTGATTCTTTGATTTTTCTCAACATTTTGTAATTTTCAGCTTATAAACTTTCCATAAAATGCATTTAATCTATTCATAATATTCCATCATATTTGTTGCTAGTATATGAAATTGTAGTTGATTTTTTAATATTGACCTTGCATCCTAAGATGGTGTTACATTTACTGGTCCTAGCACATTTTTATTAGAGAACTTTTTACAGGGATGATTTTATCTGTAAGTAAAACCAGTTTTGCATCTTTTACAAATTTCATGCCCCCACCCCTGTTTTTATTGCTTTCTTGCATTGGCCAAATGATTCTCTTCATTTTCTCACTCAGCACTTATCATATCTTTGTGTTTAACTTTTCACAACATATCAGCTTCCTTCTGCCCTAACAACTTTTTTCAACAGTTCTTGGACTGAAGATCTTCAAGTCATACTGTTGTTGTCTTGGGGTCGGTCTGACTCCTAGTGGCCCTGTGCACAGCAGAGCACACGTGATGCAGCCCCGCATCATCTATTCGAGCTACTGGTGCAGTCGGTCTGTCAGTCAGTCTTGCTGAGAGCCCGTCCTCACTGGGACCCTTTATCCTTCCACACACAGTGTCCTTCCCCAGAGTTTGGTCTTTTCTGGTATCGTGTCCAAAGTATGGAGATGAAGTCTCTCCATCCTCACTTCCAAAGAGTATTCTGGATGCACTTCTTCTAAGGCAGATTTGTTTGTTTTTCTGGAAGTTCCAGTGTTTTGGTTTGCATCTCTCTAATAGCTAGCTAATGATCTCAAGTTTTTCTTCATATTTGTTGGCTAAATGAATGCATTCTTGTTCTCTGCCCACTTTTAAAAACTATTCTATTCTTTTTTTAAATTAATAAATCATTTTATTGGGGGCTCTTATAGCAATCCATACATCAATTGTATCAGACACATTTGTACATACGTTGCCATCATCATTTTCCAAACATTTTTTTTCTGCTTGAGCTCTGCTTTAGCTTCTCCTTTTTCCAGCCCCCACCCTCATGGATCCCTGACAAATCATAAGTTGTCACTATCTTCATGTCTTACACCGTCCTCTGTCTTCCCTCAGCCATGTTTCTGTTGTTCGCTCCCCTGGGTGCTTGGTGGTATGTGTTGATCATTTTCGTCGGTCCCCGTTTCTCCCACTTTCCCCTCTTTGTTCCCCCTACCCTCGTGGTATTGCTACTCCCATTACTATTCCTGAGGGGTTTACCAGTTTTTGATTTGGTTGTTTGGGTTTTTGTTGTTGCAGTGTTGAAGTTTCCTATATAGTTGAAAGATTAATCTCATGTTTGATAAATCCATGCCAAGATTTTTCTCCGAGACTGTAGGTTCTTCTTTTACTTTTTTGGTGAAATCTTTTCATGTAAATAAATGTTTTGAATTTAGGAGATGCCAGTTGTCTTCTGTTGCTCATTTTTAGTTATGTTTGATCATGTGTTCATATCCTATATTAGGACCCCTATGTTTATCCCTACTTATTCTTTGGTGATCTTTATGGTTTTAGCTTTTACATTTATGTCTTTGATCCATCTTGAGATGGTTTTGTATATGGTAAAAAATATGAATTCTGTTTCATTTTTTCTGTGTATGGATATCCATTTTGTCAGCACTGTTTGTTAAAGAAACCCCCTCTTTCTTGTTTAATGGATTTTAACTCTCAGTTGAAGGTCATCTGTCACAGGTAGATGGACTTCTGGGTTTTCAGTTCTGTTCCATTGGTCAGTGTCTGATGTTGTACCAGCACTAGGCTGTTTTGACTAGCATGGCTGTGCACTAGGTTTTGAGATTGGGGTGTGAGCAGCCTTCAGCTTTGTTCTTCTTTAACAGTGCTTCTTTATCTGGGATCTCTTTTCTTTTTGTATAAAGTTGGCAAATTGTTTTTCCATCTCTTTACAAAGAGTGATGATAGCCTGTGGGTCAGGTCTGCATTATATCTGGAGATCAGTCTTCCTGTCCATTAGCAAGGCATGTTCTTTGGGTTTCTTGGTTTCTTGCAATAGTGTTTTGTGGTTTTCTTTTTATAGGTCTGCCTGGTGTATCTTTGGTTAGATTTGTTCCTAAGTTTTTCATCTTTTAGGTAACTATTATAAATTAGAACTATATTCCTGACTTCCTTTTAAAATTTCCCTTTGCCACTGTAGAGGAATCCAGCTGATCGTTGTATGTTGCTCTTGTACTCTCACTCTGCTGAACCCTTCTACTTGTCACAGTAGTTTTATTGTGGAGTCCGTGGCATTTTTAAAATTAGGGTAGTATAAATTGCAAACAGGGGTAGTTTTACTATTTTTTCAATCAAGTCGGTTGCCTTTTAGTTCCCCTTTTGTCTTAGTGTTAAGTTGTGTGGCTAGCACTTCTTATATAATGCTGGTTCTTGCTCACAAGGGGAATGTTGTTGTAGGTCTCTATGTTGAGAATAATGTTGGCTGTTCATTTTGTATATGTGCCTTTAGTTATGTTGAGGAATTTCCCTTGCACCTCTTTTATTGAGTGCTTTTATCAGGAAGGAGCACTGGAGTTGATAGATTTTCTGCAACAATTGATATGATAATGTGCTCCCCCCTTCATTTTTTTCATGTGGCAGATTATGTTGAACTATCCTTGCATGCCTGTAAGTCTTGTGTAAGTCTTGCTTGATCAAGATGCATTCTTTTAAAAACATGTTGCTCGATTCTATTGGTTAGGATTTTACTGAGAAATTTTGCTTCTGTGCTCATGAAGGATATTGGCTTATACTTTTCTTTTTTAGTGGTATCTTTGCCTTTTTTGATGTCCAAATTGTGCTTGCTTCATAGAATGAGTTGGGGAGTACCCCACCCCTTTGTATACTTGGAATAGCATGATCAGAATTGGTGTCAGCTCTTCTCTGAATGTTTGGTCACTTTCGCCAATGAAGTCTTACTGGGCTTTTTTGTAGGCAACATACCATCTCTATCGTTAGTAAATCAGTACTTTTTCTTAACACAGTCACACCAATTTTTCCTCTCTGTTGTCCAACTGAAGGATTTTAAAAACACGGAGTCAGTTCCTATGTCAGCACTCCCTACTGTTGCTTGCCACTTCCCTTAGGAGCCCGGGGGTCATAGTCTTGCAGGCACACCCGTACCTCCTGGGGTGATAACCAGCTGCCATGGAGCCCCCCCCAACTCACAGTGGTCCTGTTAGAGGGAGTAGACTTGCTCTGGGGCTTCCAAGGGACTCTGATGTTGCTTTCAGGACTGCTAATCTCAAGGTTGGTGGTTCAGACCTTCCAGCCATTCTGCAGAAGAATGATGGGTCTGTTTGCTCTTGTATAGATGTACATCTTCAGAAGCCCTATGCAGCGTCCCAGTGAGTCAGAATGGAATCGATGGCACTGCGTTTGGTTTTAATCTGTATGGATTTTCTCTTGCAGAATGAATGATGGGTTCAAACCACTGACCTTTCAGTTAGCTGAACAAACTGCTGCACTACCAGGGCTCTTTCTCTTAACGGGCAGACAGATGCAAAAACAACTCATTATAATAAGAGGCCTACGTGCTTTTGTAGGTTCTGTTTCTGGGATGCTGGGGGAAAACAGTGAACAGGGTCACTTAAGATTGCGTGAAGTTTAAGAAGAGGCACATCACTAACCTGGTCCCCTGTGTTGGGAGCTTGGTGAAGCACAGTGTTTTGCATGGACATATAAGTGTCAGTACACGAAAATGAACTGGGGCCGAGCACATGAACAACACATGCAGTAGAGCAGCTGTTGCCTTTATCAGCCCTTGGGCCTTGTGTCAGAATGCAGAATTGGAAAGCTTGCTGGAGCCCAGAGCAAGTTGGAAGAATCTTGTATAACTTCAAGAAATTGGAATTTTATTCTGTAGGGTAAGGATTTTTAAAACATGAAAGGTACTTGTTAGATTTGAGAAAGACCATTATCAGTAAAAGGAAGGCTTGTATGGGAAATTGCTCACTTATAAAATCAAAATGGATAATGGCCATTTAGGTACAGCTATCTTGGGTCTCTCCATATTCACTCTGGTGTTTCTTGATATCCAGCAGTCAACCACTCTTACACCTGGCCCTTAGGATAGCTGGATTTGTCAGAACCTGATGATGGTGCTGAGCCATTTTCCCCCCATCAAATGTTTCTGAGTAATTTTTAATTAAATATTTCAAGATTTAAGTTTCTGATTAATAGCATCCTTTTCACTTCTGTTTCAGTATTGTGAACATGATGAGCTTAGTCTCTCAGGACTTTTATTTTTTTTCACTGTTGATTTTGTTAACAGTTTCTAGCATAGTTGTTTTCCGCTTTTAAGCGACCATTCTCATTTAACCAAATGGAATTGGTCCAAAAGTTTATGGAAAAACTGCACTGTCTTTTAATTCTAGTTTTTCACCAACTCTTTGAAGTCCCAGGTATTAGTGAAAACCTACCATAAACTATAGACCCCGGACAATACTGAGCATATTTAGATTTGAGAAAGGGATTTTATGTTGGTGAAACTTCAGGGGAAATTCTTTTAGTCCAGAAAGCAGTGTCAAACCTTCTAATAAAGCTTAAGTCACTGAACCTCAGAAGTATAGTGCTTCTGTGTCAATGAATAATACTCAGTTTTATTCTAATGAGACCACATTTTCTGTTTTTCATATGAAGGAGGATTCAAGAATTCAGTGGAAATATGGAATTGAAGTATAATGGGCTCTTTCCATGGACTTTTTGAAGCTCCATTATTGGATTAAGATTTTCTGATATTTATAATGTGACTTTCTCAACATGGATAAACCACATCTGACCTTAGTTATGATCAATTAGCTTTAACTGATACCTTTGTGTCTGTTTTTATTTCTTTGCAGGCAATCGCATTGCCTCCTATTGCAAAGTGGCCTTATCAGAATGGCTTCACCCTAAACACTTGGTTTCGTATGGATCCATTAAATAATATCAATGTTGATAAGGATAAGCCTTATCTATATTGGTAAGTGTTTTTAATTACTTCAGCTTTGCAAAGATAAAGTGTATTATCAAGGGAATTATTAAAGAGAAGATACCTGTGTGTGTACATAGAGGTATATGTGCACACGGGGCCTTCAAAATGTTTGTGGGAAAACTGAAATGAAAAGATAATGGGATTTTTTTCATGAACTCTTTGAAGGCCCCTCATATAATTACAAAGATACAGTTAAATAACATTTTCTATTAATCCTGGTGGCATAATGGGTTACAAGTTGGGCTGTTGCCTGCAAGGTCAGCAGTTCAAATCTACCAGCCTCTCCACGGGTGAAAGATGAGGCTTTCTGCTCCCATAAGATTTACAGCCTTGGAAACCCATTGGGACAGTTCTACTCTGTCCCACAGGGCTGCTGTGAGTTGGAATCAACTCAATCCATGGCAGTGAGTTTGGGGATTGCGTTTAAGAGCCCACATCACTCTTTATCCAGTTACCATCCAGCAGTCCAGATAGCACACCGTGCTTCTTCAAACTTTAGTCGAGCTTGTCGTGGGTTCTGAGTGAAGGCAAGGAGCAGGCTTTGCCTCTGTGCTTGGTTCATCCTGTGGCCAACTGAGATACACTTTTAAAAATAATAACACCAGGAAAGAAATGATAATCAGATAAGGCTAACTATTTGGTGGACAAGTAGTGGAGTGGTTAGATCTGTAATGAAGAGAACTTGGTAATTGGTGTGCCCAGAACTGATCATGAACAGAGCTGTTAGTGACCACAGCCAGCACTCTCGCCCACCTCTCATGTGTTAGGAGAGTCATAGTACCTATCTTGTATGTTTTAATCAAAGACTGTATCAAAAGCTCTTAGAAGAATGACTGGCTCAGAATGGGGAGTGCCAACAGAAAAAAATAGTGAACTGCTATGTTTGCCGGTCAACTTAACGATGAACGCTTGTCTGTGGATAATAACGGTCAGTTTCATTGTCTCCCTGATCACCAGAAGTTCACACTTTTGCTGGATCAGCTAGAGTATTTTCCAACCTTGTCTGTTGGTTATTTTTTTCATTTTCACTTTAGTAGAATATGAGAGCATGTTGCTTTTGGTAACAGGAGCTGTGTGGCAGGGAGTTGTCTGCATTTGCTAATTGCTTCAAGGTAGAGGACATCTGCTTGCCAGGCATTTGATGGCCATCAATCTGTACACATGCTCTCCTGACCTTTTCAAGATGAAGATTTAAAAGGGCTCTAGCGTCTTCTAGATCCCTGCTGTATGTTTATTTTCTTTCAGTTCATGGAAGTTTTTCAGGTCGCAGTCTACATCTGGTATGTGTAATAGACCTCTTCTACTGAGCAGGCGATTTCTCCTGTCTGATGGTGGTTATTGGCTGGTGGAGACTATCTGTTTTTGTTTTCCTTTCAGTTTTCGCACGAGCAAAGGGGTTGGTTACTCTGCTCATTTCGTCGGTAACTGTTTAATAGTTACATCCCTCAAATCCAAAGGAAAAGGCTTTCAGCACTGTGTGAAGTATGATTTTCAGCCACGCAAGGTAAGTAAATTGAAGTCTTTGGGAATGGTGCTGTCATTTCTTAATGCCGTTATTACAGAAAAACCACAGAAGTGTGTCTCTTATAAACAGGAGTCTAATTTTTCCTAACAGCTCAGGAGGCAAGAAGTCTGAATTCAAGGGAAGGTGCTCTCTTCGTTGGCTTTGGGGGCAGGCCCTGTCTCTTTCCAGCTGTGGTTTTCCCGGCGCTCTTCATGTGCTGTCACATGACTTGCCACGGCACCCCGGGTTAAAGGGCGGCTTGATAAACTGCAGCAACAGTGGTTTAAACCCACCAGCTTGGGAGAAAGAAGAGGGTGGGTGTTTTTGCAGAGATTTACAATCTCAGAAATGCTGCGGAGGGTTGCTATGAGTCTGAACTCTCTGGCAGTGGGCTTCGTTTTGCGTTTGGTTTGGTGCATCCTTCTGATTGCTTTAAGATGCACCCTGCACTGATATGGTCCTCTTAGCATAAAGAAAATGCTCGTCCCACATGCAGCCCCATGCACTCGTGTAAGGGTGAGGGGTTTGCAAAACATTAATTGTTGGGGACACGATTCATTCCATAGCAGGGAGGAATGTCTTCCTCTCTCTTGCTCTTCTCTTTTTGTTTGCTTTTTGCCTTATGGTCTCATTGTGCTTTGTTCATATTGAAGAAAGTATTCGTTTAGGTGATATTTTCAAATACATTTTTTTGTATTTCATGTGATTGTAATGAAAAATCTGTGTTGTCTCGTCAAGGGATAGGAGTGCAAAGGGGTTTCAAAAATTTCATGGCACAGTTAGCAAACCCCAAACCAGACTTGCTGCCATCGAACCCATGTTGACTCATAGTGACCCTGTAGGACTACAGCATCTGTTAATGCCATTCCCAGGCTCCCTTGGAAGTCACCTTGTGTAGTAGTATTTCAAATTAACAATAGTTTTAAAAATATATTTTTGGAAAATAGTTTTCAAAGGAATGATTCTACATAAATTTCTATGTTACAATGGAGATCCTTATTTTTGATACAAATCCTGACATTTTATTGTACTCTAGGTGAAAATTTGCACAGCAAATCCACTTCCTATTCAACAATTTATACACTAATTGTGTCATGATATCGATCCTCACAATTTGTCAGTACCCTTTCCCTACCCTGCCTTCCCCGTACCCATCCCCACAGCTTCCCTGCTCCTCTTTACCTCTCTCCTTTGGCTTTGGGCAAATGCTGCTTATTGGGTTTCCTATAGTTGATGGACCTAAGGTACCACACTCCTCACTGGAGTTCCTGTTCATTTTATCAGCCCACCTAGTATTTGGCTGACTAGTAGGAATGGCTTCTGTTCCTGTTTAAAAGGGTGTTTTAGGGCTATAGTCTCAGGGGATCCTCCAGCCTGTTTTAGACCAGAAAGTCTGGTCTCTTATAAATATGAGTTTTGTTTTATGTTTTCCCTCCCATTCTCTCTGGTACCTTCTATTGTGTCCTGGTCAGAATGGCCAGTAGTGGTAGCTTGGGATCATCTAGAATTTCTGGTCTCTGGTTAGAAAGGCTGTGGTTTATGGAATAATAATTACTTCTGTGAGACTTAGTTTGTCCTCATTCTTCATTGCTTCAGATGAGAAGAGACAAATAGGTGTATATTAGATGACCACTCAGGTGTTTAAGATCCCAGACACTAATCACCAAATCAGCATATACAACATTAATTTTATGTACTTATTATGCCCATTAACCTACATGTCTCCTAAGATTATTATGGTCCTCCATTTTCAGGCTTTGTAACTGAGTCGCATAAGCCATATGGCTATGTATATCTAAGAAGTTTTCGTAACTATGCCCATAAGTGCTCTATTTATGTACATACACACATGTATTCATGTGTGTACACATATACAACACATACGAAAATATATATACAAATGCCCACAACTGTACCTGTGTATGCATTTTCTTATGCTTCACACACCCTCCCATACCTACATAGATTACTTACCTACCTATGTAAATACTCACAAAATTATGATTGTTATTGCTGTTGTTGAAAAATTGTGAAGGGCCTTCAAAGTTTTTTTCACAAACATTTGAAGCTCACATGTATATGTTGTACCCTTGACCTCTGAGTTGATCCTGACTTATAATGAGCATATAGGACAGAGTCGAACTACATCTTTGAGTTTTCAAGGTTATAAATTTTTCAAGAACAGAAAAGATTTTTTTACTCCTGTGGAGAGGCTGGTGGATTTGAACTGCTGACCCAACTAGTGATCTGCTACACTACCAGGGCTCCTATGTTATTATAACATTTTATCATAGTTGTCTGTGTCTTCATTTACCTGGATCATGAGCTGACTTATTCTGTACTGTGAATTGCCTTTCTCGCCACCAGAATCCATAGGGGCCTGCAATTTAGAAAGGATCCCTGATGGCTCAGTTGATTAAGTGATTTCCTCTCCCTCCCTGTTCCATCTCTGTTAACCATCAAAGAGTGTTGCTTTCTGTGTGTAAACCTAGTCTGGACTTTTCATAAAAGTGGTATCATACGATATTTCCCCTTTGTGATTGGATTTTTTCCCATACAGAATAATCCCCTCAGTGATCACGCTGAGATGTCTCATAAACTCATCATTTTTCTTTTATCATTATGTAGTGTTTTATTACATGTATGTGCTGTTTTTTGTTTACACACTTAATAATCTCAAGTTGTTTCCATCTGTTTGCTTTTTTGAGTAATGCTTCCATGGGCATGGTTGTGCATTTGTCTATTTGTGTCACTGTTCTTGCTTCTCTAAGATATATAACTAATAGTGGGATGACTGGATCATGTGGTATATCTATTTCTAGATTCTTTAGGGTGTACCACACTGTTTTCTTTAGAGATTGTATCATGTTTTTCAACCACACCAGCAGTGTATTTGAGTTCTAATCTTCTTACAAGCTTGCCAACAATTGCTGTTCTCTGTTTTTAATTTTTTAATCAGTGAGGTATGGATCTTGTTTCCTTTTCCTTCAAGTAGATATCCATTTTTTGCCAGCACCATTTGTTATAGAGCCCATCTTTCCTCAACGGAATGGACTTTAACCATTGATCCAAGATCAGCTTTCCATAGCTTGATGGGCTTACTTCTGGCTTCTCATTTCTATTCCATTCATCTTTGTGCCTGCTGCTGTACTGGTATCACGGTGTTCTTACTACTGTGGCTGTATAGTAAACTTGGAGATTGGGAAGTGTGAGACCTCTACTCTGTTCTTCATCTTCAAGATTGCTGTAGCTGTCCAGGGCCTCTTTTCTTTCAATACTCAGTTGGAAATGAGTTTTTTCCATTTTATTAAAGAGTGTTGTTGGAATTTGGATTGGGATTACGTTGTATCTATGGATTTGGGTAATATTTGCATCTTCACAGTGTTAACTCTTCCAATCCGATAGTGCGGTATGCTTTTTCATTTATGAAGGTCTCTGTTTTTTGTTGTAGTGTTTATACTTTTCTTTAATGCCTCTGGTTAGATTTACTCCCAGGTATTTTATCCTTTGGGGAGAGGGGCAGGCTGCTATTGTGAATGGTATTGTTTTCTTTCTTTTCTTTTGGGTGTTCTTTTTGTAGAGAAATCCAGTCAAGTTTTATATGCAGATTTTGAACCCTGTCACTTTACTCTTAAGCTCTGTATTAGTTCCAGTCATTTCGTGAGGCATACCTGGGCTTTCTATGTACAGGGTCCTGCCAGCTGCAGACATTTTTCTTGTCTCTTGTGTATTTCCATGTGCTGTTTCCCTTCTTGTTTCACTGACTGGAGTGGGGGTTCTTTTCAGTGTCGACTGTGAGTGGTGACCGTGGACACCCTTGCCATGTTCCTGTTGCGAAAAGTAGTTTGTTCAATATCTCCCCACTGAGAATCAAGCTGGCTATTGGCTTTGTGTATCTGTCTTTAAAATGGTGAGGAGCTTTCCTTCTATTCTTGTTTTGGTGAAAGTTCTTTTTTATCCAAAAAGAATGTACATTTTATCAATGCCATTTCTACATGGCTTGAAATGATCATGAGATTCTTCTCCTTTGTTTTTTTTTTAATGTGGTGAATTATATTGACTGATTTTATAGTCTTAAACTGTTCTTGCATCCCTGGTATGAGTCCTACCTAATTGTGTTATATTATTAGTTTGATATGCTGTCGAGTTCTGTTGTCTAGAAATTTGTTGAGCACTTTTGCATCTGAATTCATGAGGGCTAATTTCCATTCTTTAATTTTTGGTGGTATATTTGCCTCTCAGACTTTTATGTAAATGCTGTTGCTCTCCTCCAGGCATTCTGATCCATCAGGGTGGAGATGGATCCCACGCAGAACTTGAATCTTAATGGGAACTGGTTACAATTACAGTTGCTTAGAATCACAGTGTTCATGTTAGGAATATATATCTTAAACAAATGATCTTGGTAATAATTCTCATCAGACAAGTTTAGGAGAGATTTAAAGAGTAAAAATAAGAAAAGATAGATGTTCCAAACCAAATGAAATTATCATTAACCATGAAGAAGCAATTTAACACATGTTCTTATTCCTTTCTGCGTTTATACTATTAGCTTTTGAAACATCCATCTCCATTTGTTACTGTTCACTATGTATGAGTGAGGCTAAGGGACTGAGGGGAACATGGCCAGGAGGGAGGTGGGTTCTCAAAAGCCAAAGATTCTAACAGGCCTTGAAAATCCTAAAGTTTTACCACTTCTTCACAAACAAGACCTTTCATATCTCCTCTTCCGAAGTCTGGATCAGAAACACATTCTTGAATGGGTGGCTCATCCCATGTTAGCCCTGTCTCTTCCCCAGTAGCTTTCCCAGAACCACCACCCTCACCAGGAAGCTCTGTGAGTTTTCCCGTTTCCAGCTTGGCCTTCTTCAGCATTTTTTAGATAAATAGATAGGCAAGTCCTTTCTCAGTCTTCCCTGTTGCTGTCTGGAATCAATTTAATCATTGGCACCTCTTGGGTCATAGGTTCTATCATTTCTTCTAGATTTAGTGGACCTGTT